CCTCAAGGCCGTTTGCAGATGTTCTTCTTCATGACCATTGTTAAGGCCTCACCAACCGCTCCCTCCTTTTCTGAGACTGGTCTTGTTTAGCGCCTTTTTGGTGCCTGGTCAGGGTTCTCCTCCCTGTGGTTGCCCTGTCTCAGGGCCTTCTTGGCAGCCTCTTCCTCACTGTTCTTCCTGGCCTCGCCAACCCCTTCCATCACAGGCGATGGCCTTTGACTCTTCTCCAGGCTTGTTCGGAGCATCAGAGCCGCACGCTTGTGACTTCATCCTACTTTCTGGTCCTCAGCGTCTGAGGTGTGACAGGAGTTCTTTTTGCATAGGGCTTCCTCTCTTTGCGCCTGCTCTGTGTGTGTGTGTGTGTGTGTGTGTGTGTCTGTCTGTCTGTCTGTATTTGGGGTTGGATCTGCCTTGCTGGTGCCTGTTCAGGATCGTCGTGTGTAAAGTGTGGTAGTGAGGGACTGGAGTGTTGATTGCCCAGCTGCCCTGCGTGCCACTACCAGCTGGTCTTGTTGTGTTTCTGCTTTTTGGGGGCTTTTGTTTGTTTGTTCTGTTGTTTTGTTGTTTTTTCAGATGCAGGCAGTGTTCTGAGCAGGCTCTAGGGAGACAGAGGAAGAACGGGTTGTGCCCCAATCAGGAGATGAGCTGGAGGGTGGCTGCTCCAAGGTGAGTGTTGTGGTTGGTGGGTACGCTGACGCCTTTTTGCTTTGCGCGTGCAGGTGTGGAGCGGGGCAGGGAGGGGATTGTTCGTGCGCTGTTCGTGAGCACCTGCTACCTAGTGTAGGGGGGAATGTCTTGCTGGCCCCGCCCCCGTTTCCCGCTGCTCTTCTGCTTTGGCAGGTGGCAGACGGACCTGGCGTTTGGAATGGGTGAGCGGAATAGGTAAAGGTGTTGAGAGGTGCAGTGCTGTGGATGGAATGTGGTTTTGGCATCTCAAGGAGTGGTCCTGTCTCTGTGTTTGCAGGTTTTTCAGGAAGTTGTGGGGAGCAGCAGCCGAGTGGCCCCCAGGAGCCTGAGCAGGTGAGAGTGGGAGCTTGCTGGGTCCAAGGCGTATTGTGCCATTGATGTTGACCTGTCTCTTGGTGTTGGCTTTTGTGCTGCATTTTTGGGTAATGTGTGGGCTTTTTCTAGGAGGGAATGTGATGGAGCATTTGGGTGAAGGGGATTGTTACTGGGTGTAGTGGGTTTGGTGTTGCAGATAGTTAGGGAACGG